GAACCAGACTCTCCTCTAGAGGTCAGTTAATTTATGTAAAATCTTCGTTTTGCATCATTTGTCTTGCAAGAAATTTGTTGCATTGATCGTGACAGCCACGCCGTTATTTTCAGCACCATGGACAGCATCTCACATTCCATTACTTGATATAATGGCGGCTTCTGTTACTTTTTTTTAAAATGAACGTTAAATCGGCTACTATGTGCTTCTTGTTACCAATATGTTGATTTAGTATTTCCTCAGTAAACTGTTTCAAATTCGTGATGTATATTTTCACGCACGAATGATTTGCTAGTTTTTTGCCACTTTGCTCTTGTCCTTTGACATGGTGATAACCTTCCGGGTGTGTTCATGCGCACTCATTCACTCTGGATACTTAAAAATACTACTCCTCATATTGCCTAAATTCTGATTCTTGTGGTAAAATATTCTCCTTTCACTGATGCTGTTTCACATCAGCCTGTATTATCAAACTTTTATCATTTCATCCATCCGTACATCACGAAACTATGTTTTTTGCTTATTTGTATGAATGTCTTATAGTGCAGTTTTGTTTCACAAATTTTAGAGCTAATTACATAAAATTCCTCCGAAGAAATCGTGGTAGAACTGTTTTACTTTTTTTTAATGGATGTAATTTAATTTATTAAAATTTTTTGTAACTTAGTAAAATGTCGTGTTGACATACTTTGAGGTTATTTGGACTGTGCCCACTGTTTTTAGCCAAAACATTTCTCCATATAATTCTTTGTTGCACTGTGTTACTGGTTCTGGACTCTAAGCGACGCTGTTGGTCAATCCAACATATTTTATAACACATTACCACACAGTCCCCTCCCTTATCACCGTGGCCTAAGAGAGGAAAGGAGATTGTGTGCATTGTATGGGCGGACATTCAACGACAACAGATATCTCCATTCGGATTTATGCAGTAATTTGAAACGACGACATCCTTTGTCTTTGTTGGTACATTGGCTGTGTTTTTCAGGACAAGTATTCTTATTGGATCGTTTTTCTTTTTCTATGGCGTGTGGAATTAGACACGACACCGTGCGCGTAAAATGGCGTTTTGGTTGCGGACAGAATTGGCAGATTCTGTTCCTCTTTTT